TACAGTGCATGACACACACAATCTGTGTTTTGTACATGTTTAACTTTTGTCCAGTTTCTGAACAGATATGAGGAGCTGTGAGCTCTGTGTGCTAGCAGCTAACGGCTGATGTTTTGGGATGTGGTGATCGGTTGACAGCATGTCGAAGATAACATCATATGTATATCCGTTGTTAAAATATTCACTTAAGATTTCCATCTCTTCTTCCATTCTTTCCAACTCAGTTTAAAATGAGTGCAGAAACAGCTGAATAGTGCCAAACCAAATACGTGGCGCTGTCGGGTGCGGACCAATCACAAAGCTTAATTTCTTGACTGGCAGCAAAAACAACCAATCACGGCAGTGCTTCTCTTGCTGGCTCTGTCCAATGACGAACAAAAAGTGTTCTCCCTAAAGGAATACCCTTTCCGTAAAAGTTCAAATGTTGAAGTGTTTTGTGAAATGCTGTAGCGTTTTGTGAAATGCTGTAGTGTTTTGTGAAAAGCTGTAGCGTTTTCTGAAATGCTGTAGTGTTTTGTGAAATGCTGTAGCGTTTTCTGAAATGCTGTAGTGTTTTCTGAAATGCTGTAGTGTTTTGTGAAATGTTGTTTTGACTTGCACTTCAGGACCACCGTAGTATTTGGTTAGGTTTTGGAAAACATTTCTGGTCAGTGTATGGAACATGTCATGTGATCCTAACCATCCATAGAGGAATGTACATTATGACATGGATCAAGAAAATAAAACTCTTTCTGTACTACAGGATGCAGGTAAGAAAAGAAACCCCCCATGCAAGCACTCTGAAGAAGAGACATCAGTGGTCGCTGTGTAAGACCAGGCTTACGTGCACATACAGTAGTGAGTATTCAGGACATGGTGTGGATGGGGGAGAGGGGTTATTCAATAAAGATGTCTTCAGTGGGACAGGAGTAGCCAATATTGTCCCTGTAATACTGCTGGAAGGCCCTCCTGTGGGACAGCAGAGGAGATCATTAGTACATGAAATGACAATAGCTTTTTTGAATCAGGACAGATGATAGCATATATTTGTGTACCTCACTATTATTAACTACACTGTTTAGGATACAGGTCAAGTTTGTGTATCAAAGGAATATATAGTGTCCCTTTGTTACAGAAAAGGATACATTGAATAAGTTGCCAGACTAAATTAAAGTGGACCTATCATGCTATATTTGAATAATATAGTGTAGGACCATACCTACATAAGGCATATTTATACTTTTCATTTTTCAAAATACCAAACAGATCATGCATTTTAGCCATTCCTCATTTCGCTCAATTTAACACTGTCTTTGCATGGGCTGATTCTGTGAGAACAGCACCATCTACAGGCCTGGCATATGTACAACAGCGTCTCCAGCGCTTTCGAACGGCAATGTCCGTGGCTGTCTCCTCCTGATTGGTGGAGTTGGCCCAATAGCCGTAGCTCCACTTCTGTGACGTCATAGAAGTGTTCAAATCTGGATCATTCTGTATCAGATCCGTTGCAGCCCCTTTTTTAGAGATTTGGGTATGGAGGAAAATAGAGAGGGTTGTGTTTTCTGACACTTGGTGAGTTCCCTGGAACACCGGGGACACATATTCATGTATAAAAGACGTACAACAGTGCATTTTGCATGATAGGTCTCCTTTAAATGGAGTTTTTTTGTCTTCAAATGTTTTGAAACCATTTACTTTAAGGTGTGTGACTCCCAGGTTGTGAGTTGGTTGATCCTCGGTGTGCTTGATGGTTGGATCTGCCCACTCGTATCAGTCTGATTTGGGGCCTTTCTAAGTTGTAAATATAGATTTATCTTTCACCTGCTTTGTAAAATGTGGATAAATGAATTCCCAACTGCTACCTAGTATTAAAGCGTAAGTAATATTTTTATGAGATGTTGCTCAGTTTTTGCGCCTGTCGTCAACCAAATCGTGGTCTTTTGTGCCGAAATAGCTCAGTTGGGAGAGCGTTCGACTGAAGATCTAAAGGTCCCTGGTTCCATCCATGGGTTCCGGCAGCAGGTAGATTATTTTAAGTTAATGTTTATACTGATTACTCTTATACCTGCTTCGTAAACTGCGGATAAGCTATTAAGATGCTAAGTGACAAACCAACTGGTCACAAGTATTTTATGGAAATTCCTCCCCCTCATGTCATCCGGCCCACAAACACGAGCAGACCTTTGTGAAATATGATTTCAAACTTATTTTTTGATACGTCATAAACATACAGGACAAATGACATCCGTCAAAGCGTAATTGGGAATGTAATTTTAAGGTGAGCAGGCTGCTCAATCTAACCCTTAGGATATTAACGTATACAGAAGATTTATGTTGCAAGCTGTGGAGATACATTATTTATTCTACTCTACAGTATTTCATTTTTTAAATCTTTGAATCATGAGTGCAGTTTTCTGTTGCTAAAGGTATTGTTACTGAAGCCTTAAGAAACAGGCAGTGTTTCAATGCTGCACAGTAAAGAAATACCCCAAAACGTAAGGTTCCCTCAAGAGTACTTGAGTAATTGTATTTAGTTACTTTCCACCACTGAGCAGATATCCAATAGTAAAAGTCACAAAATATGTATAAAATGAACAACAAAGAATAGAATAAAATACATCTTACCCTACAGACTCAGCTAGAGGATGTAGTGTTGTCTCTGCAACCATCACATGACAGGCGAAGCGCTGCTGGTCAGGGTGTTTGGTGATGAGACCAAAATACCTGCGGGCAACAATCAGCATGACTTATTCACACACGTCTGTGGAGGCTGTAGTACACAAAGCAGTATATTATTGTCATGTAAATGTGATGACACTTAACACAGTGTGAGAATAGAGACACTTTAATGTTAGTTTAACGCATTTGTCATGCAAGTGTGCTAGATGAAGTAGTGAGACTCACTTGCTGTGTTTTGGATGACAGCCACAGAATGAGATGTTCTTCAACTGGAAGAAATGGAAACACTGGTCTCCCTGACAAAAACAGTCACACAGAGAAATGTCAAGTTTTAATGATTTAACTGCAAGATTTCCACTGAGTGGCATATATCTCACCATGGTGCAGGTATTTTACTTGTGTTTAAAATGTCTCATGGTCTACCCAACCTACGCTTAACGGATTCATTAAACAAAATGAAAACTCATCAAGCTACTGACAAAACTAACGAACATAACATTGCTCAACTCTTTCTCCGAATCTGTAAAACAGTGGACATGCTGTCATAAACTGGAGTAAGGGTTATATAAATATTTTTCTAATTCTCTGTGCCTATCAGCATTTATCTGTTTTTATGTATGTGCTTTTGTGTGTTATGCATAGGTTTGTATTAATGTGCATTCACTTGTGCATGTGTGTTTTCTAATGTGCTGTAATTGTGCTTCAAATGCGCCTTTGTGTTGAGCTTGTGTGTTTTCTTTCTTTGCTCCCCTATGTTTCCCTTTAATGCCATCAACCTTAAAGGGACTGCAGATGAAAATGAGCCTTTATGGCTAAATATGGCACATACCTGATGGACTCAAGTGCTTATGTTCATTCATGTGCATTGTCCCTTTTTTTGACTAGCTTGCAATTGCTGGATTAGAAGAAGTGTGAACGTGAAGATATGTAGATAGAGTAGTGCCCGTACCCTATGAGCAGAGTGACACTGGTCCTGGACACTGATCTTCACCCCCCTCACACTGACCTCCAGCACACAGGCTGAAGGGGGCTGAGCTGCTAACCGCCTGTTACACGCCACCTGTGAACACAAGTCATCAGTCATTCATTAAACACAGCTTTAACTCTCAGCACTCTACGCTGTTTTATTTATTATTACCTGTCTGTAGTGTTAGGCCAGTTTAGAGCCGTGTTTGTCCAACACGTCGTCACCTCAACTTTATATCCTTTTATTGATGTGTATGAAATAGTCTTAATTGTGTTTGTGTGTGTTTATTTGTGTATTGAGGGGTAGGGGGGTGGGTGGGCTGTTTGGGGGAGCTTTCTGAGAAATAACGTTCAGGAGAGTTGGATAGATCGCATTTATTACGAATAGTTTTCCAAGTTTACCCGTAATATTAATGCAATACACTTGACCTTTGCCTTTGCTGTGCTTTGCAGGCTTAAACTTAGCAAGACAATAATCATCACTCAGTATTCAAAACTCCTAATTGTGTTCCATACACTAATGTAACAACAGTAATTGTGGGGGAAACTTCTGAAGCAATTGAAACAGGACTCAGAGAGACACGAGGAGAGCTGGAGCTTTGATGGCAAACACTGACGCTTTATTTGGAGCTTCGGCCGGAGAATTCACAAGACATTTGCTGTGCCACGAGTTGACCACAGGTTGAGATGCCACAATCAATTTTGAAGATCTCTACCCCAGACCCATGTGTTTAGCTAGTTCTGAGAGAATAATCAACATTGTGCATAACAAGATAGAATGATAACCAGGGTAGGATTTTCACGGCGGCCATGACGGCCATGGCCGTCGTAGCCCCTCGGTCTGGCCGTTATGCCCCACAAATAATAGTAGGTCCTACGGCCACCATGGCCTGTGTGCCCCTCACACTGTTAAAATCGCGAAGTTGCTTTAAAAGCGTCAGAACAGTGTTTTCTGAACTGCATTAGGCTGCATTCACAACGGACGCGATGCGAATATTCTCATCGCTCTAACCGCTGGAGTTTCACCGCGGCTGTCAGCTGTGTTTACTCCTGTCATTCAAACAGGACGCGCTGGAGAGGGGGCGGGGCTTATTTCAATGTAAATACTGAATAAATACTACGACAAAATTAACATATTTTACAGTGATTTAATTGTAATACACGTTTCAAAATGA